GGCCAATTGTGGTGCATCTCCATCAACTCCGTGACGAAGGCGCCGGCTTACATCTAAAGCGTGGGTCCGCCTGAGCCGCCTCGATAGAGGGATTGTAGGCTTTCAATCTGTCGCAAGGATCTGCAACCGATTTCGCGATACATTTGTGCAAAGTAGCCTGCTGCATCTTGTAGAATGACATATCATTACCACACGTGGGAACACGTCAAATACGGGGTTGGATCGACAGGGACGGCCCGGAGCTTGATGTCCAAACTCGAGAAGGGATGAGGGGCTTCCCGTTGTTTAGAACACGGGGCATTTAGCGCGGGACTGTGAAGCCAAAGTGGACGTGATCATGATTCTTCTCAGCTCATCTTAAGCAGCATTGATCCAGCACATTCATCCATAGCCGTCAGGTAACCAATGGGTCAGAGACAGGGCAAGGGATGCACGAAGTGACAGGGGTCCATCACCCGTTGCCCTACCTGAGTGCCTGCTAACCGGGCACCTGGAATGGGCGGCAGCGGCTTCGACGGCCCATTTGAGACCCAATGAGCGCCACCCAGCCCTCCAGTTTCCGTCGTGGAGCCGATACGACTGAGGAGAGACCCACGCCAATGCATGTTAGATTCATGGTCAACGACAGTAAAAAGAACAGAAAATGGGGTTCTCATGGCGTGATTCCCCTCTTCGAAGCTTTCGCTAGGATATAAGTGACAGAATCTGTCAGACATGGGTGTGGTAGACGAGCACGAGGACGCAAGCGAGGGAGATGAATAGCGCGCGATCACATATCCGAGTGCAACACGTCAAGTCATATTGGGCTGTCGTGTTATGCATGCGACACAGTCAATTCAGACAGAAGAAGAAAAGAGACATGCCCGCGAAAACCTTGCCGGTCCTGGGCGCGCTATTCCAGACACTAGTTCATCTGGTGTGTATTGTCTTAGCTCGGCAATCGCCCTGAGGGCCTTCAGCGGGCGGTCGAGATGGTCATAGACTGTTCTCAAGGGCCCAGCTTCCCGGTTTTCTTGCCAAACTCCCTCCTCAGATCTCCGTCTTGTCTCTCTTCCTTCATCCCTACATCAAGATCGCGAACGCCTCATTGCCCAATCCTCCCAACCATCAGCTTCTGGCGAACAAGGATCATACCAGCAACATCTTGAACCATTTTCAGCCCTGCTCCTGAGCTAGTAAAGCTTGCTGAAAAGCGCAAGACGAGGCCTGGGCCCTTCAGCGCACCCGGCCACCGCCCAGCGAACCCCGCCTCCACTGACTTGACTCGAACGGACTTCCCGCGTTCGTGCCAGGCCGGCTTATGGTCCGACGAAAGTTTAATCAAGACTGTCCGGGGTTGAGGTACTAAGAGCTGTCGAAGCGAAAACAGTTGATTACGACGCAACGTCGCAACCAAAATTGTTGCCATTTGCTCGTGTTCGTTCCGCCAGCTCAACTGTGAACAACATCAGACAGATTTCCTACGACCACATCCCACTGTCTGCGACGACACAACCCGGACATCGCGATCGAAAATTGCATGCGCTTCTGCTGAAGTTACGTGATAGGAGACAATGGGCACGGGAAGCAAGCCCGCTAGCCCTAGCGGTAGTCCTCACGGGAGCCCGCGTCGTGGCCAGGCTGCAGGTATGTCGAAACTTCGTGCGCCCATTGCGCAGCCAGAGAGGTTGCGCCTGAGAATGGGAAGCTTCTTCTGAGGATAATAAGACGTTGACCTTACCAAAGCTTCTACAGAACCGGTAGTCTCGAGCTCCAACGTCGACCAGACATTCGTAGCACCTCCCAGAGCCGAAGCCATCCCGCCTGCGACATCGACGTCGCCCGAGCCGGCGCCAGCTCCCGTCCCCGCCGAAATCCCAGTCCAACCAGAGCCTTTGGAAGCTGGCGGCACAGACGATGAGAACGAGTTCGAACCCAGCGTATTCGACGAAGAGTCTGTAAGCGACCAGACCGATTCGACGTCGCTCAAGTCGAGCGTCTACGAGCATAGCTTCAAGAACGGCCGGCGCTATCACAAGTTTCGTCATGGACGCTATCCTATTCCCAACGACGAGACAGAGCAGAACCGCGAGGATATGTTGCATGCCATGATGTTGGAGGTTACGGACGGGAGGCTGTTCTTCGCGCCCATCGTTGATAACCCTGCAAAGATCATTGATCTTGGTACCGGGACAGGTATCTGGGCTATCGAAAGTCAGTATTTCCTTCGAAAGAAAGCGTTCCAGCGTTGATAAGCTGCTGTGCAAGGGGCCGAAGAGCTAACAAAATCCTAGTGGGCGATATTTACCCCAGTGCCGAAGTCACTGGTCTCGACCTGAGCCCGATCCAACCTGTCTGGGTGCCGCCGAACGTGAGATTCTTAGTGGATGATGTTGAAGACAGTTGGTTGAATGGGAGGGACTTTGACTTTGTTCACCTGCGCAACATGGTTCCAGTCTTGAAGTCTCCGGTGGGCCTGTTGAAGAACGCTTATGAGTAAGAACTGCCACCAATGTGCATCTGTCTCCAGGGACTAATATCACCGCAGACACATGAAGCCAGGGGCTTGGGTGGAGCTTCAAGACGTCGACGGTCAAGTTCACTGCGATGACGGCACGATGCCAGCAGACTGGCCTCTCGTCCGCTTCACAAACCACCTGGTAGAAGCATTTGCCAAGTTTGGGACCAACTCCCACGCCGCGGTGTTTGGAAGGCAATATCTCGAGGAGGCTGGTTTCGTCAACATTCAGCACCATACAGTGAAGTTGCCGTATGGCACCTGGCCAAGAGATAAGTAAGTGTCATGCACTCGTTTTACGGACGGTTCGGATGCGCCTCTGACTAATGTTGCCTGCTCAGGACGATGCGCTTGGTTGGCATGTACTACCGCACGGCCTGCGAAGAGTTCTTCCCAGTGGTTGGCGCGATTCACTTCGAGCTGCTCGGATGGAGCAAGGTGGAGATGGAGGTTCTTTTTGCTGAGTGCCGCAATGCTATGAGAGATCCCAACGTCCATGCATACGGCAAGATGCATTTTTGGAGCGGACAGAAGCCGTTCTGACCCGAGGGGGCTGGGTAAGGGGGCGAGTCGGGAAGCGAGAGGAGGAGGACGAGGGCTATACCCCTGCTTCGGAGTATCGGTGACTGGAGTTTATTGAGAGCGTTTTCCTGCATATATCATAATTCACATGAGATGGTCCTTCTGCAAATCTGTTCCGTTTTCCATTGCTGCAGCGGTGCTTGGCGGTTAACCGGTGGTGGGTGCGATGGAACTTGTGCGCCCGACCACGAGGCCACCGCCTCCACCCGTAAGCGCTCAGGCTTTTGCGCAGCTTTTGATGAGGGGAGGGTGTATGCTTTCTTTTGAATGAGACATAACGTTGATACGTTTGCCGACGCGATTGGTCCTTTCCGTACGAAGTCGGGGCCGGAGGGACTTTGGGGGAGCGTTGCGTCAGCTGCATGTGGGTGATCGGGTGCGTACTGCATCCAATTACGATATCTGTCAGATCTAACGGTCGATTCCCATAGGGCTCTCAACAACAACTTGCTTTCTCTGGCCAGTTGTCGATCATTCGAACCCTGACACCTCATCTCGCCTGGAAATCGAGGGATGCTTCACAAACATGCACATAGCTGACGAAGCCGAAAACGGAGCGGAATGACCGGATCAGGTCCAGAATTTCGTTCCTTTTTGGATCCCCTTGATAGTGTTTCGGGCAGACTTTGCATGTCTCGTGGGCAGAAATTTGCCGCGGTGCCCCATCATGGGCGGCCGCCTCCGACTTTGACCGGCTCGGACCCACCACACGGCGATGCGGCACGGTACTCTGTGTTACCGAAAACGGTCGTGGGGGCCGAGCCGCTAGCCCGTTGAGATCCCGATTCTTCTGATAGCCCCCCAATCCTCCGATTACATACGTTCTGTGCCACTCGAGCTACTGTATCTTGGAGAACCTTTGAAGACCAAAGTCCCATCACACAATTGCACCCATTGCGATCTTCACCCGCTTCCATGGCCTTATCTGGTCAAGCAGTCGGCTATGTGAAGGTGCAGCAGGTGTAGTGGAAACTGCTTGAAGAGCAGCACGGGGTCTCAGGCCGTGAGTCTTGCTATCCGGGCGGATACTACTAGGTAAACGGGCAGATAACTACCCATATTAGGCCTAATAGTTTATCTTATCTCGATTAACTTTTACTACTATAGTTGCTGTTCCTATCCTCCTATCTTTCCCTATTATTATCGTCGTCGTCGTCGTCGTCGTCGTCGTCGTCGTCGTTATTATCTATAATATCGTCGATCGTCCCTATCGCCGTATATCCAGTGCCCGCCCGGTTAGCTAGAAGCATCCGCCCGGATAGAAAGACTCCAGGCCGTGGTCTTGGCTCGGACTGCAACGAGATAGAGTGCGCTGTCATCACTCAAACCCATCGAATACGGCCCGAAGCGACAGCGTTGAGATTGGCCGTTTGGTATGTACTAATGCGGCGCATGCCAATTTTTTTTCTCAGCTGTGCTGACGTGTGCCCAGATCTTGACAAAAGGCTATTTAAGATAACATGATAGATGTTTCGACAGCCACAGCTGACGTTGGATTCATGATCGTCTACAAATTGGCGTATCAAATAGCCGAGAATATGCAGCATGCCCTGTGCCGCTCAATAGTCGATCAAGCTTCCCATGCATCGTGGCATCGAGGCTGGTAGAATCCAATGTCGGCTTGGCATATTATCAATGTCCAAGACAATGTTTGTATATAGTGCTGATAACAAGAGGCACAACGCCCCTGGATTGGATACCCCTGACTCACCAAGTCTAACCAGTCTGTATTTAGTAAATAGAGGTTGCCGTGACTGACGGAGGCTGCATCTTGGATGCCTTAAGACCAGATCACGTCTTATTAGCGAACTTCAAATAACAGGGTTCTTCTCAACAACCGGTTTACTCTTCATTTCTTGCAGACATCTTTCCCGACAGTCCATCACCGCATATCAGAGAAAAGAAGAATTTGAACGTTACTATGGCCCCATTTATGGATGCCTTAACGGATACGTCCGAGGTGAGTCGTGGAACTTTTCACACAGAAAGTTATTTTGAAACTGATCTTCCAGGTGAATGGGCAGTCTTCGTGGGCAGATAGCTCAATGGGCGCAGCGGAGCCGATCGCCATTTGCGGGATGGCTCTGAGACTCCCGGGAGGCATCGCGACTCCAGAACAATTCTGGGATTTCCTCATCAACAAGAAGGATGCCCGTGGACCAGTTCCAGAGTCACGGTTCAACGCTTTCAGCTACTACTCTGAGTCTGGCAAGCCGGGTCATATGAAGACCCAGTATGGGTACTTCCTAGACGAATCTGTTGATCTGGCTGCACTAGATACAACGTTCTTCCGGATGCCTAAGACAGAGGTCGAGCGAGCCGATCCTCAGCAACGGCTTCTTCTTGAACTCACGCGAGAGTGCTTGGAGAGCGCTGGTGAGACGAACTATCGAGGCAAGACGGTCGGCACCTTCGTCGGCTGCTTCGGCGAGGACTGGCTCGAGACCCTCACCAAAGACACCGAGGTTGTCGGCCAGTACAAGATCACTGGCTATGGTGACTTCATGCTCTCGAACCGTCTTAGCTATGAGTACGATCTTAAGGGACCCAGCATGACAATCAGGACTGGTTGTTCTTCGGCTCTCATTGGCCTACACGAAGCATGCATGTCTATCAATAATGGTCAGTGCAACGCTGCTATTGTTGCCGGATCGAACCTCATCATGGCTCCGGGTCTCTTCGTGAGCATGTCTGAGCAAGGAGTGCTTTCTCCGAATGGATCTTGTCGGACCTTCGATGCTGGAGCTGACGGGTACGCCCGTGGCGAGGCCGTTAACGTCGTATATGTGAAACGGCTCAGCGATGCTATTCGTGACGGAAACCCGATCCGCGCTGTGATCCGAGGAACCTCAAGCAACGCCGATGGAAAGACGCCCAGTCTGACTATTCCGAGCTTCGAGAGCCATGAGGCTATGATCAGACGAGCGTATGCTATGGCGACTATTGACGATTCCGACATCCCTAACACCGGCTTCGTGGAATGCCACGGCACAGGCACAGCTGCAGGTGATCCAATTGAGACAACAGCAATTTCGAAGGTTTTTGGTACTTCCGGGATCTACATCGGATCTTGCAAACCAAACATTGGTCACTCCGAGGGAGCATCCGGGATCACCTCGTTGATCAAATCCATCATGGCCCTCGAGAAGCGGACTATCCCGCCAAACATCAAGTTTGATACTCCAAACCCCAAGATTCCATTCGACAGGAATGGCCTCAAAGTACCTGTTGTTCCTACGCCTTGGCCCGAGGACCGTATTGAGCGGGTCTCTGTTAACTCTTTCGGAATTGGTGGCGCAAACGCCCATGTGGTTATTGAATCTGCCGCGAGTTTCCTCGGACTGACGTCATTGCCGCCCAACATCGAGACGACAACTATACCGAGACGACAAGCATACTTGATGGTGTTTTCAGCCAATACCGCAGATTCTCTCAGACGCCAAGTCGTCAACAACCAGAAGTACATCAGCCAACACGATGACTCCCTTGATGATATTGCGTACACCTTATCGTCGAGGCGCATTCATCTATCTCATCGAGCATTTTCTGTATTGGAGAATGGAGCTGAGAAATTCACATCACCATTTTCCAAGACGTCTCCGTCCTCAACCGATCTTGTGCTCGTGTTTACTGGACAAGGTGCACAATGGCCTCGTATGGGTGCAGAACTCTTGCAGAGCAACAAAACTTTCACCCAGTCCATGCGACAGATGGACAAGGTCTTGAGCGCTCTACCTGATAGTCCGTCCTGGACCCTGGTCGATGAGCTCCTGAAGCCTACAGAAATCAGCAACTTGCACAAGGCCTACCTCTCCCAGCCTGTCTGCACTGCCGTCCAAGTCGCACTGGTGGACGCACTGTATGAGGCAGCCGGAATCCAAGCTTTTGCAGTGGTCGGCCATTCATCAGGAGAAATGGCGGCAGCTTACGCCGCTGGAAGACTCACTGCTAACGAGGCGATCATTGCAGCGTACTACCGGGGTATTGCGTCTTCGGAAGTTACCAAAGTCGGCGCGATGGCTGCTGTCGGGATGGGTCGAGCCAAGACGGCCCCTTTCCTGATCCCTGGTGTTGTCATCGCGTGCGAGAACTCTCCCTCAAGCGTGACGATCTCTGGAGACGCAGAACGGGTTGAAAACGTTCTTTCCGAGATTCGAGCCGCCCACCCCGAGGTTCTGGCACGACTTTTGAAGGTCGAGAAGGCGTATCACTCTCATCACATGCAAGAAGTAGGCGAGCGATACCTGTCGTTAACCTCTCCCTACATGAGTAATCACATCAAAGCGGAAGACTCTGAGCCACTGTTTTTCTCCTCGGTCACCGGCATGCGATTGCCAGAGGACGAAGCGACTGACGCCAATTACTGGAGATCGAACCTTGAGTCTCCTGTCTTGTTTGATGCAGCTGTGACGAGCTTAGTCTCGGAGCATCAGAGCAAAAGCAGTGGTAAGCTCATGTTCCTTGAGATTGGTCCTCATTCAGCCATGGCCGGCCCCTTGCGACAAATTTTGACCAAAGTATCTCTCGAGCTTTCGTATGCAACCTGTCTTGTCCGGTCATTGGACTCAACAGAAAGCCTTTTGACAGCTCTGGGCCAGCTGTGGCAGCAAGGCGTGAGCGTTGACTTCAATCGCCTCACGAATCCGAACGGCGATGCCCGTGTAGTCACTGACTTGCCGACCTATCCTTGGCAACACGACCACTCTCTGCTGTTCTCAAGTCGCATCTCCGATGAATGGAGATTCCGGAAGTACCCCAAGCACGAATTACTTGGTGTCCGGATTCCCGAAAGCAGCCATAGTGAGCCGGTCTTCCGCAACGTTTTCACTCTGAATTATGTTCCGTGGGTGCGAGACCACAACATCAAGGGGGACGTTATCTTCCCATGTGCCGGCTACGTCGGCATGGCTGGAGAAGCGGCAAGACAGCTTCATCACGGAACTTTCGCTGGATTTGCGATGCGCAACGTTGTCATTGACATGGCAATGGTGCTTGCCGACAGTAAATCCACGGAAATCATCACAAGTTTGAAGAAGGAGAGGTTGACGGATAGTCTGGACGGCTCGTGGTGGGAGTTTACAATTACTTCTCATAACGGCTCGAGTTGGTTGAAACACTGCAGTGGTCAAGTTAAGGCTTTGGAAGAGGCTGACGGGCGGACACGAGGGCCCCCCACGAAGCTTTCCAGGGTAATTGGGCCAGGAAAGTGGTATCAAGCCCTTCGAAATGTGGGCGCCAATTATGGCCCGTATTTTCAAGGGCTTCACCATGTCACCTGCTCCCCTACCAACCACAGGTCTCATGGCACGGCAATGCATACAGTTAAGGATGAGACATTCTATCCCGTTCATCCAACGAAGATCGACTTCTTTCTGCAGCTTTTCAGCGTTGCTGCGGTGAATGGAGTTGGCCATAGTCTGGACAAGATGAACGTGCCGACCTTCATTGAGTCCCTCGAGATCTTCAACACCGACTCCGAGATCAATATGGAAGTTAGTGCAAACCAGACACCTCGGGGGCTTATCTGTGGAGGAGGCCACGGCGTAAGCTCGGACGGCGGGCTAGTCCTCTCTCTCAAGGGGGTGAAGCTGAGCCCGTTAGAAAATGACGCCAGCGAAGAAGATCCTGATCCGCACGCAGGCGCGCGAATCTTCTGGCAGCCTGATGTCGACTTCTTGAAAATATCAGATCTTATAGAGGCCCACCCCAACCAGGGAAACCTCGCGAGAACACAACAGCTCGCCCTGAACTACATTGAGGGAGCGCTGAGCCGGCTCGGGAACGTTCAAACGACGATCCCGCATCTGGCAAGGTTTCACAGTTGGATGAAGAAGCAACCACCACCTCAGACATCAATCGACATGGAAGTCTTCAAGCCTACCGTGTCTGAATTTGAGCCATTTGGATCCTTTGTGGTGGCAATGCAGAAGGTTTTCGACAATATCGTCGCCATTTTTCGAGGAGAGACCGAGCCATTGGAAATTCTGATGCCTGACAACGTTCTCACGAATGTGTACAACTCCCTGAACATCACGAATAGAGTGCCACTGTTTCAAGCTTTGGGCCATTCGAAACCGAATCTTCGTGTCCTTGAAATCGGTGCAGGCACCGGCGGCACAACGAACAAGGTGTTGGAATGGTTGCGCGGTCCGACTGGCGCTTTGCTATACTCGGAGTACACCTACACGGACATCTCGGCAGGATTCTTCTCCGCGGCCCAGGAGCGCTTCAAGGAGTACCCCAACATGACTTTCAAATCCTTGGATATTTCCAAAGACCCCGTCGACCAGGGGTTTGAGCCAGCATCGTACGACCTGATTCTCGCTGCCAATGTCCTCCATGCAACTCCCAGCTTGAGAGAAACCCTCATGAACGTTCGCAAGCTGTTGCAACCTGAAGGCAGGCTTTACATGGAAGAACTATCACATGACGCACTTCCCATGAATTTCGTCATGTCCGTTCTCCCGGGATGGTGGTTAGGGGCAGACGACGGACGACCTGATCAACCACATGTCTTATCCGATAGATGGGATATGGAGCTACGGGATTCCGGGTTTGATGGTTTGGAAAATGTTGCCTTCGACTCCGAACGACCGAACAATTTGCTTGCTTTCATGACTGCAAGACCAGCAGCGGCTCTAACCCCGCAGACTGCTGTCGGGATCCTACACGACTCTTGTTCAGCTGTCATTGCAGCAGATCTGAAACGTGAGCTTGCTCGGCTGAATCTGGAGGGAAATCTTCACGACATTGCGGATGGGTTGCCTGTCAACTGCCACGAGATCATTGCCACTCTTGATATGGAGGCCCCCTTTTTCGAGAACATCAGCGCGCCGGCACTGAGAAGCTTCCAGGACCTCATCGCAGCCGCTTCAAAGTCCCACACTGGAATCTTCTGGCTGACTCGATCATCTCAACTGAGATGTTCAGACCCGAGGTGGGCCCAGACCATTGGAACTACTCGCTCTATCAGGAGTGAGCTCAGCCTCGACTTGGCAACATGCGAGGTTGATGGCGTAAGCTCTTTGTCGACGATCGCAAAAGTCTTTGCCAAGTTCCAGCGGCACCGAAATAACTCCAAATACCAGCCCGAGTATGAGTATAGCATCCACAACGATGTTGTACAAATTCCGAGGGTCTATCCTATCAACGTCAGCGAGGAGCTACAACTTATGTCTCAGGAAAAGGGCGGCAAGGGCGACAAGGACGACGAGGGCCCTGATAAGCCTGATATCAATGACCGCAGTGATTGTGACCTGCTGATTGGAAAGTATGGTCGCCTGAGTACACTCTCCTGGGTTCCGCGGTACAAGAGAGAACTTGTTGACGACGAGATCATCATAGACGCAAAGGCTGCTGGCATGAACTTCAAGGTAGGTCAATCATCATTGATAATGATAAGCGATCAACGGCCCTAACACAAGACAGGATGTCCTCATTGCTATGGGTATCGTTGACTCAGCCAACAGCCGCATGGGTCTTGAAGCAGCTGGCGTCGTCCGTGAGATTGGGCCGAATGTCCGCGCCCTTGCGCCCGGTGACAGAGTCTTTGTTTTTGGCGGCGGTTGCTTCTCGACTGGTATCACGATCTCGGAGAAACTCTGCGTAAAAATCCCAGATTCTCTTAGTTTTGAGGACGCAGCCACAATGCCGTGCGTTTACTCGACCGTCATCCATGGACTCCTTGAGGTCGGCCGCCTTGAAGCCGGTGATTCAGTCCTTATTCATTCAGCCTGCGGTGGGGTTGGCCTAGCTGCTATACAAATCTGCAGTATGGCTGGAGCAAAAGTATTCTGCACTGTCGGTAGCGAAGAAAAGGCTGAGTATCTTATGTCTACATTTGGGATGCCCAGAGATCACATCTTCCAGTCACGCGACGCATCGTTCCTCCCAGATATCCTCGAAGCAACGGGCGGAAGGGGAGTTGATATAATTCTCAACTCACTAAGCGGCGAGCTTCTACATGCGTCTTGGAGATGCGTCGCCGAGTTTGGCAGAATGATAGAAATCGGCAAACGTGACTTCATCGGTAACGGGAAACTCGCTTTGAATCCTTTCGAGATGAATCGAAGCTATCATGGCGTGGATTTGGGACATTTGATCGAGTTGAAGCCCGAAAGAGGCAATAGGTAAGTCCCGTCAATAGCGCTACGCCATGTGAAAGTACGGCTATTCACCAGTGATCAGGCTACTAAAGAAGATTGTTGAACTTTACGAAACGGGTCATGTCACCGCTCTGCGTCCTATAAGGACATTTGACGCTGACGCTGCTCAAGAATGCTTTCGTCATATGCAAAAGGGGCAGCATATCGGGAAGATTGTGTTGAAGATGGACAGATTGTCCGCAATCCAGACCGCGGGTTGTAGCCCTTCGTTCCAATCGAGCTTTGATGGCCACTCAGCTTATCTCATCGTGGGAGGTCTTGGCGGTCTCGGTCGACTCGTATCAAATTGGATGGTCGAGCACGGTGCCAGGCACTTTGTCTATCTTTCTCGGCAAGGTGGCGACACGGAGGAGAACCAAAACTTCTTCAAAGAGCTGGAAGATCAAGGTTGCGTGATATCAGCAGTGAAGGGCAGCATCACAAGCCTTGCTGATGTCGAAAAAGCCATCGTGACTTCCCAGAAGCCGATTAGAGGTGTCATCAACATGTCCATGATCTTGCGAGACCAGGGCTTCACCAAGATGACTCACGAGGAGTGGACCACCGCAGTTGACCCCAAGGTTCTGGGAACATGGAATCTGCACAATGCCTGTGTCAGTTCTGGACTTGAACTGGACTTCTTTCTCCTCTTCAGCTCGATTTCTGGCATTGTTGGACAGAAGGGCCAAGCCAATTACGCAGGGGCCAATACCTTTCTCGATGCTTTTGTTCAGTACAGACACAGCCTTGGCATGTCTGCTGCTTCTATTGACGTTGGAGCAATGATAGATTACGGGTACCTCGCAGAGAACCCTGTGATGATGGAGAAGCTCACAGCCCAAGGCATGTATGGGGTGAATATTCCACAGCTGCTTGACGCAGTTTCAGTCCTGGTCAATCAGCCAATCCCTCAACTCAGCAAAATCCCTACAAGGACCTTCTTCAACCCATCGCAGCTTATACTAGGCCATCGAAGCCTCACCTCTCTCTTGGATCCATCGAACAGAGTGATCTGGAAGGAAGATAGCCGCATGGCTGTTTACTACAACTCCGATGGTGCGAGGAGGGTAACAGAAGTCAACACGGTCAATTCCAGTGCCCTCCAGAAGTTTCTCACTTCCACGTTGACAGATCCCCTACTTCTTTCATCCCCTGAAGCCCCTGTCTTCTTGGCGAGACAAATCGGCGGACAGCTTTTCCGACTTCTACTGAAGCCTGCAGAGAACGACGACGAAATTGATGCGAAAATGTCTCTTCAAGATGCTGGATTAGATAGTCTCGTTGCGGTGGAGATGCGCAGCTGGTGGAAGGGAGTATTCGGATTTGATATTAGTGTGCTTGAAATTCTTGGCATGGGAAGCTTGCTAGCCTTGGGTGAGAGAGCAGCCAAGGGTCTCAAGGAGAGTCAGATTGATGCAAGTCAGGAGACTGAGAGTGGGGAGAAGCATAGCACTGAAGATTACTTGAGGCTCAAGATGCCTTAAGAACTTGAATAGCTCCCGGTTGTCATAGATAAGAGACAGCCCGAATTCTTCTGTGCTGGAGCAACTACTTTTCCCGCGGCTTCTACCTTATACGCAATGCCGTCATCGTCGTCGTTCCTATCGTCCTCGTCATCGGAGGAGTTAGATTCACAGAAAGCATAGCCTCGCAAACATTGGAAATTTAGGCGGTTTTCATTGATTATCTCTCCCTCGCTCGAGCTTCTGGTCGCGTGGCCGTAGACAGGGGCAGCCCCATGTCGTGTCTGAACCAGCTGGCCTGCGAAGATGCCCGTGGCTTTACTTCGATGGATCCAACGCAACCGGTCTGTTCTCTTCGAACCAAAGCTTCTCTCCCTCACTTTTCCACTGCGGCGGGTACATCCCATTGATCATCCAAAGTCTTCTTTCCGTCTCATTGATATGAAACTCCCAGTCGTAACCCTTGTCCTCGATGTGCGGCTTCAAGATCTGGTGAAGGCCATCCGTGGTGCGTTTGTAACTTTCGTCATTGTTTGGAAGCGTCACAGCAATATGATCCACGGTGATTCTTATGAAGGTATCGCTAGTTCTGGGCTTTCCTCCCACCCAGATATCGTTGGGTTGCAGCTTGATGAAGTTAACAACCACATAGAAAGCTGGAAGGCCAAAGCTGGTGTAGAAACTGGTGATGTCCTTGGAAAGAGCGCGTTTGGTCTCGTCGTCGATGAAGACGTTAGGTGGGTGGTAAATGAGCCAGAGAGGCATGTTGAGAAGATTAGTAGTTTGGTCGGAATTTTGAAGTCTTGATGAAAATAAGTCGTGCAGATTGAATGCGAAGAGAACACTTACACAAAGGCTTCAATGTCCCACTGCTTAATTATATGTTGATTGTTCTTCTTTCACGTGAGTTGCAACTCTGCCAGAGGAATAGGCGTACGCACGCCTCTTGGGTCACTTCGTGATTACTGATCGTGGGTCGAGCCACCTACTTGAATCCCAGCCGCAAGCCATACAAGGTCGCGCGCATCAATCAAATCTGCTGTACCCTAGCAGATCAATAATCAGTAATTAGTTTTCTGGCTGGAACTTGACAGTAAGCCGGCACTCTACTTTGTTCCTCAGCGGATTTCGGCGGGCTTTGGTTCTACGAGTTCCGACGATGATGTTCAGACGAAAACACACCCAATCAGTGTCATGCACTCCCTCGGGGGTTATTATTGTGTTCGAGAGTGCAGTTGATAAGCGAATTCCGTCTTGTTCCGGACGGACAACAGGGATTACTCAACATATTCAGGGCCGGTTTCACAGAGACCTCTCTCCATCGAGACTTATATAAACCCCCGGACGGCTTATCAATAAAGTTTCCTAACCGGGCGGGAAGTGGTTATAGACGAAGGCAAGGGCGACGGGGGTAAATAGAGGCAGAGAAAATAATAGGTGCAAGGATACGGACGATAACAACAAGGAGGATACCAAAGAACAAGAGAGGTGAAAATATTATACAAAGAAATAACAAAACCTTTGAAATAGAACAACAGCTATTAGACCAGATGCGGGCAAGAGAGTAACAACACATAAGATGACATGGATTTGAGGCACGATTGCTCACCAGCCTCTGTGGCTCTGGTCGCAATCATGTCCGCCCAGCTCAACATGCCTTTCAGCTCATCTCTGAGCATCCTCATCGCTGCAATACTGATGATCTCCTCCATAAAACCGCCAAACGTGTCAGTGCGGCCCAAAGCGTTATGCTAATGCTGTTTGCGACAACTCGAAGAATGGGTCACTGTTTCAAACCATACTTGTCTTTTTCCCGCCCAAATGAACCAAATCGATCGTAATGTGAGCCTCAGTTGCGAACCTACAAGTTTTCAAAAACTGAGCCGCCGCTGCGAGCTGATTCGAGTTATCCAAGTAGAATGGCCTCCACGAGAAAGCGTGTTGGAAACGAAAAAGAAAACGCGTCGCAGGACATCGCCTGCAGAGGTTGCTGATCTGAAGTCCCGCATCTCTGACTCTGTGACTTTCGCTTACGTGGGGGTCAGATTGCCTAAACAGGATGTGATAGGAAACTCACGCCTGCCCGGTTGGTCTTGAATCGGCTGATTGCGGGGGCTCGGCCGACTTACCCCAGATTTTCGGATGCGGCAGTTGATTGTTATTGGAGACGAGGGAACTAAATCGGATCATTCTTGGCCAGTTAGTAGTTACCCCGCGTGTTCTTTTCCACTGTCTTAGAGGGATTCATGTAGATCCATGGTCTGAAATTTTGAAGCAGGTCCAACCCGTAAACCTTACCCAGACCGGAAGTATGAAGTTGTGTCTGACCCCCAATGATAATTAAACCTTTATCTACAGACTCCACACAGTTGGACCTTCTTATCAAACTTCCGGTCCCCACAAACTGGCGTGCTCCTTATCACCGTTCGCAAATCACCACAGACAGGTTCCTCGCCTCGGGCCGTGGCCCGGTGAAAGGAGAAGCAGGTCAGAAAGACTCTATACCCGCCAGTAGTAACCCCGCAAAGCTCGGACAGATCCAGATCGATATACCCTTATCTGACCCCTAAAGCTTGACAACTTGGATCTCTTATCTTCCGCCCCCTCCCTCCTTTATCTAGACGGGTTCTCGGGTGATACGCAAGAAAGTGCGAGGTTATCGCACACTGCTCATCATGCAGTAGAGCTGTTTCAAAACCCATCAATCTGAATGACAGATGCCCCGAGACCAGTCCTGGACAAACCAACTCCAGATTATCGACATACTACAGGATACGTCATCTGGTCTTTCTTGATACTATCCAAGATTGATACCTGTCGACAATGGAGGTAAAGACTCAAGAGGATGTAGAAGTCGGGCGGCACGACAATGAGTCGACCCGGAAAACCAGCATGGTCGACATTGACCATGGCGCCGACTCACAACTACAAAGAAGACTTGGAAACCGGCATATCACAATGATTGGGATAGGCTCGTCGATTGGTATGGGCCTATGGCTCGGAAGTGGCAAAGGGCTAGTTGCGGGTGGTCCAGCTTCATTATTCATCGGATGTGAGTACTTCTGCAACGGCCTGTCTGAACGCCCTCCCCAGTGCGCCCTTCTAGGCAAATTTTGCTTGCAACTTGGACGCTGACCAGGGCAAACAAAACTCCAGTCATCATCGCCAGCTCCATGGTTTGGGCAGTCTCACAGTCCATCGGGGAAATGGCTGTGATGTACCCACTCCCCTCCGCTTTTGTCCAATGGACGAACAAATTCGTCGATCCAGCCGCTGGATTCGCTTTGGGATGGTGCTACTGGTTCAACTACTGGATTGCCGTCGCCAACGAGCTACAGGGCATTGTTACCGTTTTGTCCTTCTGGAACACGTCGGTGCCCAAGGCCGCATGGATCTCAATTTTCTGGGTTGTCATCGCCCTGATCAACGTTGGGGCAGTTACGGTCTTCGCTGAGGTTGAGGTCGTCATGGCGGCCATCAAATTCGGCTGGATCTTCGTCGTCATCATCGCCTCCGTCGTCATTTCAGCAGGCGGGGCACCGAATCATGAGGCAATTGGGTTTAGGTACTGGAACGAAGCCCCTTTCTTAAACGGCTTCAGGGGTTTCTTGACTGTCATGCCGGTGTGCATTTTCGCTCTGTCTGGATCGGAAACGACAGGTCTTGTCGCAGCCGAGCTCAGCAACCCGAGGAAGGCGGTTCCAAAGGCAGTTAAGTCCATTGCACTCCGCCTTGCAATGTTTTATCTGATGGGCTCCTTGATGATCACCATCACCGTGTCCCCTTCCGACTCGAACCTCTTTGGTAGCGGAGCCCATGCCACAGACGCATCACCATTCGTGATCGCCTTCAGGAACGCCGGTCTGGAGCCGTTGGCTCATATGATGAACGCTGTCATATTCCTGTCAGTTCTCTCATCCGGTAGTATCAACGCGTATGCAGGATCCCGGACACTCGTTGGGCTGTCTGAGATTGGCATGGCCCCATCTGTGAGTCTGACTGTTCGGTTGTCTCCGAAATCTGGGCTAATCGCGTCTTTTTGCAGTGGATGAAGAAGGCAGACCGCCGAGGAAGACCATGGTATACTTTAACGCCGACACTCCTGATCGGTGGTGGACTCTCGTATCTCAACGCCAGTCACACGGGTGCGGAAGTCTTCAGCTGGTTGTCAAGTCTCGTCTCGCTTTTTACGCTTTTCGGATGGTCGATGATCTGCCTTTCCCATATCCGCATGAGACATGCCTGGAAAGTTCAAGGACGAAGCGTTAATGACCTGCCATGGAGAACGAAGACCTGGCCATGGGCAGCTTACTGGGGCTTGATATGGTGCATCATATTGACGATCGTCCAGTTCTATCTTGCCGTCTGGCCCTTCAACGGTGAGACGTCGGCGAAATCTTTCTTCTCGACCTACGTCTCAGTACCGGTTGGCATCATCATCTATGTCGCTGCCAAGTTCTTTTATGGCGGTCGTCATTGGCTTGATAGCCGATCGATTGACCTTGACTCTGACCGACGTTTTTACTCCGCCGAGCAAGAGGACGAAGACAAGAAGGTTCCATTTGCCAAAAGGATATTGAAGAAATTACTTCGTTCGTAAGGCACAGAGAACATCAACACGTAGGGCAGGACTGATGTCGCTGAGCTTTGCGCGACTAGACCGTGCTTATTGACAAGAGTAGAAGTTGGTTGGTTCTTTGGAAGATGATACCATTGTCCCAATCTGTTCGTGTATCCGAATGTGGCTTTGGTTGGAAGGTTCTGCTTTGAATTCTCCAATGCTGTTCATTCTCTGAGTTAAACGTCACCTTCTCGCGGAGTAGTCCGGCTTACGAGGACATGCCGAGATATTTATATTCATGTCGTCTGCATCGCGGTCTGTGCTGTGTCTCGCAACTAATGTCTCCAGAATCCCGAGTGAGAGTTGTGTTGATTAATATGTTAAAGTTTGAGGCGAAGCATCCACTTTCTGACACTCACGAAAAATACCTAGGGCGCCTCTCACTTTCGCAACAGCTCCTTCCACAAAAAAATCACAGACCAGGCTGCAGTCATTCCGCCGCTGACTCGCCGCAAGGCGCTGAGTTGAATTGCTCTCCACATGTCATGTCAATCAACCCGGAACTGATATTACCTGGGACATCCTACGGCATCCGCGGAAGTTACAAACGGACAAACTAGGTCGGTGCTGAACTCTGTTCTCAAGTGCAATAAGTAATCATCGGCATATTGTTCCGGGCTGCCATCTGCTCATCCCATCTCACCTTATTTAAACTTGGCAGTCTCGTCCGAACCACTCCCCAACCTCTTCTGGCAATAACTCAATTGACATCCAACACTCACCGCAACCAGTAAGCATTGATTCAGTCTCTTTTCTAGCGCAATCACAGCCAAACCTAACTTGACTCAGTGCAACTCATCAACCTCCTTGTCCTTCTTCCCGCGCTTGTCTCCGCAGCCCATGGCGACCCCCGGAGAATGAGCTACTCTGGAAGCTGCATCATCGCCAAGGACGGTACATGGTCGCCCAAGTGCACGACGGCCTACGTCGAAGCGGCACTCGGATCCCAGTGCACGAACCTGGGCGGTACTTTGAGCAACATCAACTTCCAAACCACCATTACACAGATCAACTACCGCTGCAACTGCGTACACGGAAATACCAAGGACTTCACCTTCAACGATGGTGTCTTCGAGGCTAAGGCTGTGGTTGGCGACAAGTGCTGAGGAGGGAAAACGTCAAAAAAGAATGAGTCCGCATATCATGGATACCCAATCGCGGAGCTGCTCAGTCTACCTAAATATGAAGACTGCCTGTTCTGTCGTCCCAGTCGTCAAACACACTCTTCTGCTCACACAAAGATGGAATTTCGTCATGGTACGCTGAACGCGTATAATGTGACGTCTTATGCAGGAAATGAATTTTTTTATTGCCATCGATCTCGTGCAAACAGAAACTAAAGCTTTTGATGTTTTGACAATTCGATGTACCTAACATTGAAAAAAACCTGTAAACCGCATGGACATCTTTTAAACCAACTACCATCCTCCAAGACCCCCCCCCCCCCCCCTCCCCCCTTCCCCTTTGACATTTCAGCTCATTTCTATAAGATCGTTGTGGTGGTACCTGATACCTGATAATGTCCAGTATTCACATGTGTAAGATTGCCCGACGGAAAGTGATGATCGGAGATCCTCCCTCAGGTAACTCGCATTTGAGATGACGGAAGGCATGGTTCATAGCTAGCTGGTTGGGGAAAATATCAGATCTCTATCGCGTTTTGTACTACAAGCATTTCGCAATCCTTTCGATGCTCGAGTGTTGAGGGCAAGAAAAGCTGCGACATGGCACCAAATCATCAGTAGGCAGTATCACACTGAATACACGGGATCCCCAGGCAAAGATAATGTCACGTTTTCACCAATCACGCCACTTTCCCTACACAACAATAACTGGAGCGTGCATACCTCTCTTCGAAGGCACTTGGTTTGTGACTCCAATTATGTCTCAAGCCCCCTTGATGACATCAAATCATGCTGTGTTACCTGCGTTACCTCGATTGGCTCTATGATTGGCAGGCGACCAGTTGTCTCAAACCAGCTAATATGGACACTCTGGCTTTTGATCAGCTGTCAATTCTATTTTTTTTTACTTCATCGTCGACTCGGCGCTACCTCTAAGCCAACTTCGACGCACAGATTCCGGCGATGCTCTTGTGGCGAAACGAAACGTCAGTAATCGGCGATTAGCCTTTCTTTGTTAGCCAGTATCGATCGTTCGCTTGGCTTTATTCGGTCCCATTTGCATCAATTTTTGCGCAATCAACAGCAATCCAACCAACACATTGCGCCACACGATGTCGAACACTAGCTTCTGTCATGTGATCGATTGCGACAACTTGGAGGGGGACTTCCTCGAACCTTATGCAGACATATCGGGCACTGGTGTAAGCTAGCCATATCGTATTTTGAGAAACTTATTTTTATTACATTTCTGCTCATACATGTGCTGTTCAGGTACTTGTAGGGTTTATCGGGACCGCTTATCTCGCTTTTGTACTCGTCACTGTCAGCTACTTTCTAGCGTTTGACCCTAGCGAAAATCCGTTCAACAGTCGCATCACTGTTGATGAAGATGCTGCGAACGCCTATTGGAAGCCAAATCCGATTAACAAAAGATTAATCGCCTGGATACGAAAGCCGTCGCTACTGATATCTAGCACACGCGAGCGACTTCAAGCTGCGTTCGACGAGGTGAGGATAAAGAGTAACCACTTTGTGAAAGCGATTAATATTAATATCACTCACTGAGGCATAGGCTAAGAACCCTACCTAAGCTATAGATCACCCCCCACCTTAGATCACCACTTTTGCATACTTTTAACCTACTAATACTGTGATTATATTTTTACGTTCTATATAATTTCTCTATAGTTTTATAACGATAATATATAATTTTATACTCTCTTTATTATTAGAAGATTTACTATTAATTAATATTATTTCTAACTTAATAGGATAGTTTTATACCTCTTATTTCTTCTTCTAAATATCTTTAATTATTATAAAGTATATATTTAGCTTTAGCTTAACTTTACTATATTTAATAAACTTATACTTCTCTAACTAAACTTCTAAAGATTAGATAACTTACTAGTTATCTATTATAGCTATATTATTAAAGTTTAAAGTTTTCCCTAATTTTTTAAAGAAAAAGATCTATATTATAAAGTTAATAAAATAATCTCTTTATATTATTAACTTTAACTTATTACTAAAAAGCTATTATATCTAGTATAAATTAGCTAAGTTCTTTAGTATTTTAATTATAATATTTTAAAAAGTCTATTTATTATTTATAAGTTTTAAATACTATATTAATATTTATAGAATATTAGTTAGAGTAAAAGTATAAATAAACTAGTTTATAAAAAGCTTTATAATATTAATAAGCTATATCTTTATTACTTTTTATCTTAATTTAATAATATATAGTTATAAAGTATCCTAATATATATATAAATAATATTATAAGAAGTTCTATTTACTAATTAGTATAAAATTAAGTAAATAGTTTTATTTTATAAAATAGGTCCTATAAAATTACTTTAGAAGTATAAATACTAATATATTAAGAAACTATATAATATAAAATAAATAGGTAAGTAAGTAAGCTAAGTAAATATTATTAATATAATATTTCTATATAAAGTTATTACTAATATAGCTTTTATAGCTATCTATAATAAATAAATATTTAAAATATAGTCTTTTTATTTTTACTATTATCTCTAGTATAAATATATTCTCTAGCTAATTAATATTAATATTATTAGATATCTAACTATTTATAATTAATATAAAGTACTATAAGTTAAATTCTAAAAGATCTTTAAGGAATTATTAGTATTAAACTATCTTATTTTTAAAGATAACTAGAAGTAAGAGATAACTATTATTAATACTAATATATTTAACTATAGATATTTAGATATAGTTATTAAAGTTTTAAATAAATATAGAAAGCTTTTTAGAATATCTTAGTATTAAATTATTATACTAAGCCTTCTCTATAATATCTATCTTATCTATATTATATTATAAGTTTATAGGGATAATCTTAACTTCTAGAAGATTAAGTATTATAAAGAACTCCTTTATATCTTTAACTATAATATCTTTTATATATTAAATATTAATCTTATATATTTTTAGAGTTTTAATAAATAAGTAGTAATATAAGAAAGTTTCTATTTAGTATATACTAAGGGAATATATATTACTATTAGTATATATAATTTATATTATAAAAAAATAGATATACTTATAGCTAGGTATATAGCTTAAAGTACTTTATATAAAGATTTAAGTAGTTAGAAAGGTTTCTTATTTAAAGTTAAAGTATTACTAAGTAACTTTTACTTTTATTATTATCTTATTACTATTAATATATTATTATAAAGTTATATATAGTATACTTTAGTCTTTAGTAGCTTTTTAGAGAGAGTAATTATTATATATAGCTATAATTACTATAGTAATATTAATAAGAGTATATAAAAGTATAAGATATATATTAGTATTTTTAAAAGAATTTATTTTATACGTTATAGCGTTAAAAAAGTAGTGTTAACTAGGATAATATATAATATAAAGTATATAGAAGATACGTTTTTAGGCTGATCTGAGGTGGGGGGTGATCTATAGCTTAGGTGGGGTTCTTATCATTCTTTTATGCGATATTCAAATCGTCATAGGAATTGGAATCCTAGTCAGCGGTTTTATGCTGCTGAAGTGCGGTCTCAATGCTTGTCACTGGCAGATTGTCGTTTACCTCGCGTGGTTTTCTACTGTTACGCATTTATCAGGACTGAATATCCTAAGAGGGCGTCTTAACACCACTCCATGGGCAAAATACGTCCGAGTCTTTCTCATGTTGGCCCTTCTGGTGTTGGTTGTTGTGGGACTGCTACCAACCGGTTTTTTCAACAACGCCAACTTTTCATCACAAGCCATCTGTTACTTTAATCAAAGTTACGGCTACTGGCGACATGACGCCATGCCTAATAAGACTTGGAGATCTCCTGGTCCCGTCACAGCGACTGCAGAATGGCAAGCTATGGCCATGTCCGTCATACTTCTTATCTGTGGGTTTGTCTCCCGGTGTTTTAAACTATTCCAACCTCTATCTACAGCATTCAGGGTACAAATAAGAAGTCCAATAAGCCGGCTAGCACAGAGGAATTTGGAACGACTCGAAGAACCAAGCTCCAGCGTATCTCTGTGCTGGAGAGACAGATTGAAGCTGAGCATTGTCACAAGGCCTGCTTTGGCCATCTTTCTGATGGTGCGATTGAGTTGCGATCTATTTGGCTCAACCATCTTTGAGGTACGATTTCTTTTGAGGCTTTTCCAAACAATGCCATAGAACTGAAACGAACAACTTGTAAGGTTTACTGGTTATTTGTTATTCTGCTTTGGGGAACCGTGAAGGTTTTAGCCGCTCGAAACACGATAAGCTCAAAGAGCCCGGAAGTCGCTTTAGAAGAGGAACAGTGGACATTCGGCCAGATTCTGCCCGTATTTCTCTTGCTCGGCCCACTGTTCGCCATCGCTGGTATTTTCGCTTCTAAAATGACCGAAACGGCATCAAATCCTGCTAGTCGCTACGGCAGAGAGGCCTACATCATCGGTTCGAACGTAACTGGACGCCGGACTCAATTACACAGTGGAACGGCCGAGAGTATATCATTTAACTCACTTGAAGTTACTACACAAGAAGGCTTAGATCGACTCGAGCCACCTCCTCCGCCCAGCACACCGGCGGTTCCTATTTCAAATCCCAGCGAAATGGATCTCATGCATTTGAAAGATTACAGTAACGCTCAATGGCTCCCAATTTGTGTGGCAGTCCCATTTTTGAGCATTGTCGCCGCTACCATTGTGCTTTTTGCGACAGTCTTCAACTTTGGCCTATCTTTTGAACCTAATCAGACTTTATATGAGGTATGGATCGGACAATTCAACATGATCTACATTTTATTAATTAGCTACCCTTGCGCTTGCGCAACAACCATCAGATTCGGTCTGGGCATGAATTTGAGCGGGGGATGGCGAAAATTTGGTTTCTTTTGGCTCTGTTCAATCCTATACACTGTTTATTTCTTGTTGGCGTTTCCCTTGCTCCTCTCGGTCCCGGAGTGGAATGAATTTGCGCCGTATTCTGGCATCATTCTTGGCTTGTCACTATATCTTGGACATGTCCTCATTTCATTGCCCAGAGCTTTGGCAGGAAGGAATCTGCGCTTTGCGTTACTTATTCCTCAAGGTTTGCTGTTATATAATAGATAGCCTTCGCCATTAGGGCATACATTGTATCGCTTCTAATGTTGCAATTCTCGCTGCACTGTCTCCGTTGTTGTCGGGGTTATCTACAAACCTGTTGTCAGCTTGGACGCTATTGCTCGCGTACCGTGCATGCCAAGCTCTATCGTTGTTGTCGTCTCGCCTGGATAACTATGGCAAGGATGATGAAAACCAAGTAGTAGCGCACTTGTGCAGCTTTGAACTGCGGATTACCCATAGTCGCTAAGAGACGTACTGTCAAAGGCCTCCATGCCGAGCGAGAACGTTTCCATGGTTCTATGGCGCAGGCGGGCAGGCAGGGTGTCATCAAATGTCGACGGGACTGATCATTCCCAGCAGTCAATGGTCAAAGAAAGATGCCTTCGTGAAGGTTTAAAACTATGCTTCAAAGTATCTCAGGCTCCCAGTGCTAAGGGCTTCGGAGAGAAAACGCTCATTATAAATGCGCAACAATGTGACTTGGTTAATCTCTGCCGGAAGCTCTCCCCAATTTTGCCTTCACATACACGTGATGTACGTCTCGCCCATCACGAGGCAGCATCGAAATTTACAAACAGCTAGCTAATGCCTTGATATCGTAAGGGACTCTCCATCTTCCCAGACCCAATTAACACTATCAACAGAGGTATCCCGAAGCATCGTGTCATTGAACTTGTCTGAACTCGGTCTACGGCTTAGACGCTCACGTCATACGTTTTTTACGGTGCTATAACCCTAGGAATGGTCATCCAAACATGTTGGTTGTAATTGAAACACCATGGGAACTCTCGCTGCATTAAAGCTCGACAGCAAGGCTGCTTGTTAGAAAATCAACAGCGACATGGAGCATAGTATCTTTTCCCGGCACAGTTCATAAGGCTTCCAAGCCGCTAGAATGTCGAGTGCTTAAATTCTAGGGGCTCAGATGACCGTATTTGACCTGGTATATTCCATGGTAACGAGCTGGTTCTTCTCTTTGACCGCCCATGTTTGCGTTGCTTCAAGCTTAGAGGCATCAAGGTCATAATTTTAGCATATGTAACACATACCTTATGTTATCAATCATTGAACTTCGCCAGTACATCGATAGTTCAACAATATAATGACTATTTTCACTGAATTAAATAGCTGTAGATCTTGTGGAAAGCTAAGAGGGTTTTGATCTCTCGGGATAACTACTGCTTAGTCGTGCCACGTACGGGGGATGTACCGACTTGATTGAGCATTTGACGGGATGCAACTCTTGTTGGCTATTCCTTGTCTTGCGGAAGTCCCAATCGGGGTTGCGTAGGCGCCGTTCCACAGGTTCGTTGCAACTTTGCAACTTTATACTTTTCAGCTCACCGTTTCATTAATAATTTATTGAATAGACTATCCGACTAGTGTATGGGATATGTGATTCGCATTGTCTTTACGTAAGCCGGCTGTCAACAGAACTCCGCGGGAATTGAATCATTCAATATCGA